GCACTTCTTAAAAACTTATGTTTATAATTTTTCCTCAAATGCTGAGCTGCTGTATCCAAGCCTCAAGCAGCTGAAAAAAGACCTCAAATTTTAGACAAATAAGTAGGTTCTCTTGGATTTCGTTGAAATTTGTTCAATGCTAAACTCTTTATATTATTACAGATCCACTACCAAATGACAGTCAAAGTGACATCCAAGTGACAAGGAACATAGATAGATTTTCGTGGATTTTATTGGAATTTTTTCGATGCTAAACACTCTAATAATAATATTATAATATTATAAAATAATATATAACATATATATTAATTATTAGTATATTATATATATTATTATATTATATTATAATATTATTGCAGGTCAGGACCAACTGACAGTCACTTTCTGGGAACATGTGTCTACAATTTTTCCTCGAATGCAGAACTGAAAGACTTGCTTAGTTACTTTTCTTTTTTATAGTCTTTATTCTTTTTCATTTTCAAGTACTATTATTTTGTAATATTTTTGTCAAAATGAACTCAACGTCAATTAACGCCAACTTAATTTCTTGTTTTCAACGTGGATGCAACTGTGTTTTTTATTGTCTATCTGATCTCCTTGATCATTTTAGCAGTGCTCACAGAATGAAATCATTTCATCCCATAGTATGCACTTACAAGACGTGTAAAAGATCTTTCACTAATCGACGTTACTTTACTAATCATTTTAATAAAACTCATGGTGACGATTTCTGTAAAGAAAGCGCCATCCAAGAATCTGAAGCATTCATTAATAACAGTTGTACCGAAAATTTAGGCACTGCATTAGAAAACGGATGTAGCAGTCAGATGGATACCTCCATTCCTGGAAAAATTGTAGTGTCCCCTGTAATAGCTGATATAATATGTAATGCCCCCCAATCTGGCAATGGTGTAGTCAAGGAAATAATACAGGACTCTGTCGCTGATTTTTGTATCTCGCTACACAGTAGCCTATCTCTTCCATTTTCACATGCCGAGGATATAGTCAAATCCACAGTAAACCTTGTAAAAGGCATTAACAGTTTGTATACTGAAGAACTTGGGTTTCTTTCTGTAAAAGACGAAAAATATCCAACTCAAGATACCATCTTGAAAATGGAGGAGAATTTTAAATGGGTAGAAAGTACTTTTCAAAATTGGAATACCAAATATATGGTAAAAAAGACCTTACAAGAACAAGGTGTATTTATTCCACCTGTGGTTAAAGATATCGGCAGAATCACCATCACTAAAAGAACCAAGGTAAAAGGTAAATTCCGTAGAATTTCCGTCAAAGGGACGTATGTTTTTATCCCAATGAGGAAGGTTTTAACGTTACTCTTCCAGCAAGAAGGTGTTCTTGAAAGTGTCATGAAATATTTGCAAAAATTAGATCATGATGATAATGTAATTTCAAATTTTGTGCAGAGTCAGTGTTGGATTAACACTCCTACATCTGACGAAGAAACAGGTATCACTCTGCCTTTGGAAATATTTAATGATGACCTAGAAGTAGGGAATCCTCTGGGCAGTCATGCTGGCAAAAACAAAGTCAACGCAACTTATTTTTCAATTCCTTGTTTTGTTCGTGAAGTTAAATCTTCACTGAATTATGTTTTCCTAGCTTATTTGACTCATTCCTTTAATTTGAAATATTTCAATTTAAAAACTGTGTTTAAAGATTTAATTGCCGAACTAAATTATCTTGCCGAAACTGGAATCACTGTCACTCTTGAGAATCACAATATCAGAATTTTCTTCCAATTTTGTGCTCTTTGCGGAGATAATCTTGGACTCAATACTTTGGGTGGGTTTTGTCAAAGTTTTTCAAAAAGTGAGTTCTGCTGTCGTATCTGTCTAGCTAACAGAAATAAACGTCGGACCATGTCTAAGGAAGATCCTACTTTACTGAGAACAAAAGAAAATTACAGGGCAGGAGTTAATTTACAAGATCCCACTAAAAATGGTATTAAGGAAGAATGTGTATTTAACAGCGTCAAGAATTTTCACATAGTTGATAATTGTTTGGTCGACGTTTTTCATGATATTTTTGAAGGCGTGGCGCAGTACGACCTCTATTTCTTACTCCAATATTACATTTTCACAGCTGAAAGATTTTCTGTAGCTACTTTTAATCATAGGCTGGAAGTTTTTGATTTCGGGTCTTCAGACATTCCTAACAAGCCTCCTCCACTCCCGCTAGATTTTAAGAAGAAAAAGAAATTAAGACTATCTGGATGTGAAACGGCGTGTCTTCTCAAATTCCTTGGTCTCTTGATAGGAGAATTAGTTCCCCCTGATGACAACGTCTGGGAGCTCTACCTTGCATTACGGAGAATTGTAGACTTGGTCTTAAGTCCGTCATTTAGCACCAAATCTTATGAGCTGCTAGCTCTTTATGTGCAAGAGCACAATACACTTTATGTACACCTGACGAAAAAAGCCTTGCCATTCAAATTTCACAATCTTGTCCATTACCCACGTTTAATTGCTAAATTTGGGCCTCTAATTAATTTTTCAGTTGAAGGATACGAAAGGGGGCATGGCCCTGTCAAATGCGTTTCGAATAGTGTAGCCTCCCGCAAAAATATCTGTCTAACAATTGCTAACAAAGTTATGATGAAATTTGGTCGTAATCTCCTAAAAAATGAGTATGCTAAAAAAAGATTCCTAGCGGGACCAAATAGAACACGCAAAGACTATGACACTTTTTTTGCAGAACTAGACAAATACACTTTTACAACTTCCTTTCCAGAAATTTTAAGAGAGAGAAGTACTATTCGAACCAACTGGGTTCAACTCCACGGAACAAAGTATTGCATTGGCATGACATTGTATTTAGCTATAGATGAGGAAACAAGTTTTCCAATTTTTGGTCTTATTCAGAACATTTTTGTAAGCGCTGCTGGGAAAGTTTATTTTCTTCTGAAAAACTTCCAGACTTTAGCTTTCAGTGAAAAATTTTATTCATATAGACTTATTATCGTTGACTCTTACTCTGTGTGCAGTCAAGATGACCTTCATGACTTTCGCCCACACAATGCTGCGGCACCAGCAATGCTACCTGACAGCAATTTGTACTATGTCTCTTTACTTTGTAATTCTTAATTCATACATTCATACAAGAGTGAGGATAATTATTGTAGGTTAACTGCCTCGAGTTGTAAAAACAACCAATATAGGTGCAGAAGACCAGAATTTGTCATGCTGGAACAGTGCTCTATTGATAATAACTGTAAAATATTTTTGGAAATATTTATGTATTAATAAATTTTGTATTATTAAGTATATTGGTTAATTTTATGATTTATATTCATTATTATTTGAATAATAGTAAAGGAAAAACATAATATTCTTTGTTAAATTTATCTTCCTGCCTTCTTAAAAGAAACAATCTTCACAAGTATGCCAGTTAGCAATATCTCAATTAAATTCTCAGGGTTCAAGACTACCTAATGAAAGAAGAATCCGCCTAAAATTTCACTTTCTCATATCAAGCAATTTCACACTGGTGCTTTATTTTTGTAGACTGGTGCCTCAATCTCATTCATTCATATGTGTATCTTGGTAGGGCTACTGCAATGTGGGAAATCTCAGATTTTTACTCCCAATCCGAATCACCACAAGTAATTGAAGAAAACTCCAGTCCAACTCCATTTTGATGACTTTGAAGATTACAGAAAAATAATAATGCTTACAGTAGGATCAAAAGTACCTAGTTCAAAAAAAGTCACTCAATTTTAGCCGAAGCAGCAATTTTGAAGTTCAGTTTTCTGTTAGGTTTGAGTTTTATGATTAACTATTCTGTTTCCTGTTACATTTCGCCACAGTTGTAGAGACATAATTATTGGACGGGCAATCTTGGTTTCTGATCTTGGACTATGGAATGGAGTTCCCTCAGGATCCTGGGATCTCTTGACACTCCTATTTCCTGTCAAATTTTGTGGAAGTTATACGATAATGCCTTAGATTTCGTCCGAAATTTGCTCGTAACTAAGCTACCAAACTTAATGACCGTCTACTTCTTAATCATTGAAGTGGGTTCCTCTGCGATTGGTCACATTTGCAGTGGTATGGTCTCAACTTTGATAGCTGTGTCTTTGAAAGTTTAAGGCAAAACCAGAGGCATTATCGTAACTTCCGTGAAATTTGACAGGTAATAGGAGTGTTAAAGCAAGAGATCACAGGACCTTGATGGAACTCCATTCTATGGTGCAAGATCGGATACCAAGATTGTCGGTACAGCATGTCTCCACTTGGTGGTTTAGGAATTCTGTAATGCTAAGTCAGCATCTGGCGTTACCAAACCTGCATTTTTTTA